AAGTTTGCCCTCTTCTTTCTCACGCCTCATCACAGCAGCCTGAAGTTCAGCAGGGCAGGATGTGAAGCTGTGATAAGGGCTGGGAGAGAGGGGGAGGAAGGCTGGGCCTCACACCCCATGTGGATCCTGGACGCTACTTCTTGGGGGGTGAGTGGACAGCCCCCGGCAGCGCATAGGGGCTCTTCCTGGCGGTGCTCAGGGCCCAGGTGCTGAGCTGGGACCAGGCCCTAGTCTGCCGGGTCCAGACAAACGCTGGGCCTCGCAAGTGTCTGTGAGTGCCGACCCGCCGTCCACCGGCGGACACGTCGCGTGACCCTGTGGGTTTCCTCTCGTCGTTGGCGCCGGCTAGCTTTGAGGAATTCGGAACGCGAGACTCACAGATGAATCTCGGGAGAGACCAGCGCCGCAGAGAGGCCTCTGAAGCACCAAATCACCACCCAGTTAAAAAATTTAACTCCGTCTCCAGAACCCTAGTTAAAGTTTTAGAATTCCACCCGCGCACAACCACTGCTGCGGACAGCTCGTACGTTATGCCACTGGTATGCCAAGAAATGCGCACAACACTGGAGGGGGTGTAAGGTAGAAGACCACCGATCTTGATCAAAAAACAGATAAGGTAAAGGTAAAGGTAAAGACCCTCCCGTTGATCATCGATTTGCTCGAGCGGGCCCAGTAACGTCTCCATTGGAGACTTTGTTGTTACTGTGTCTGGCATATCGAATACTCTCGGTAGCTTGCCGGGCTCTCCGAGAGGGGCGGAGGAATCGAACTCGGGTCGGCCATGTTGGCCGCTTGTAAGGCGAACGCCCTACCGCTGTGCTATCGCTCCAGCCCTATAATATATATATGTACTGTAGCACTGTCCTCCCGTTGTTCATCATTTTGCTCGAGCGGGCACCAGTAACGTCTCACAACAAATTGTGAGATTTGTTGTTACTGTTTTTGGCATATCAAATACGACACGGGGACCTTGCCAGATTTTACCTTCATATATATATATATATATATCACTATCACTATCCTCCCATTGTTCATCAACTTGATCGAGCGGGCCCAGTAACATTGTGAGACTTGGTACCGTGTTTGGCATATGGAATATGTCACAGGTAACTTGCCAGGCTCTGCCGTGCGGGCGAGATACTCTCGGTAGCTTGCCGGGCTCTCCGAGAGGGGCGGAGGAATCGAACTTGCGTCGGCCATGTTGGCTGTGTGCAAGGCAAATGCCCTACCCGCTGTGCTATCGCTCCAGCCCATAGATAGATAGATAGATAGATTAGCATACCAAGGCTCAAACTCCAACACCGTCTTGTTGATCTCCTATACAGGGGCTTGATGGCTCCAAGGAGAGATACAACAATTTTCACACACTTTCCTCTCAGGAAACCCTTTCGGATCATTTTTAGCCAATTATTTATAACAAGCCATACAAAAAATAATAACAATAAAGTATTTAGCATCTGTACGTGGCGCAGACTTGGGTGGTGGTGGGAAAACTGGAAATAACGGTGGTGGGAAGGTGTCATGGTAGTGGGATGGCTGTTGGCATGTTGAATGCCATCAGCTAGCATGAACAACTTTACGGAAACACAATTTCAAAGTTACAAAGTAAATACAAGAGGGCGCTTGGAACGCGGCTCTGGGTGAGGGGCCCCAGGGGTCCCCTTCTGAGCCGGATCAGAAACTTCCTCCCACTGTCTCCCTGCCGCCTGAGCCCCCTGGAGGTGAGAGCCAGGCATTCTGCCCTTGGTGTGAACCCCGTTTTCAAATGACCCCCCCCCCGTTCCTGGCTCGTCCTTCACGCCCTACCGAGGTCACGAGCTGTCCCCCATGAGCGGCTCTCTGGCAGGGCTCTGACTCCAGAAGCAGAAGGACTTAATGCAGAGCCCGGCAGCTTGCGGCAGAAAAGTGAATGGACTATGCATTAATCCATGCCACCATGCCTGCCCGGGAGGGAAAGGGTGTTGCTCCCTTCCACCTTTTTCCCTCTGGACAGCAAGACGGCGGCCGCCTCGGAGCTTTTTGGAATAATCCAGGTATGAGCCGGTTGTGACGGGGCGACTGAAACCTCATGGGAAGGGGGCATTCCTGGCCTGTCCTTCACGCCCTACTGAGGTCACGAGTTGCCCCCCACGAGTGGCTCTCCGGCACGGCCATGGCTCCAGAGCCACAGAAACCAATCTTATGATTATCAGACTCTCGGCAGAAATACTTCCAGGTTTAATAAGTAAAATATCAGAAATCCAAAATCGCGCGGCCGCAGTAGCAGGTCTGATTTGGGGGTGTAAACTCTGAATAATAAAAGTGCATCTTCTGTCGAAACAATGAATCTAATCAAAGTAGATAGAGTGCTAATTAGAATTCATCTGCCTCTATTGAGGTTCTTGGTGGTGAAAAATCAGTCCTGGTGAAGGGAAACATGTTTGATGATTGCATGACCGAGACTTAAACCTGAAAGCTTTGTAACTTTTCCCACAGTGATTCAATAAATAAATTAAAAAAAAAATTTTTTTAAAAAAAGCATTTAAACCAGAAAAAATAAATAAATTTAAAAAAATGACCCCCCCCCCCCAAAAAAAAATAGCCCACGGGGCCCTCTGGAACCAAAACTCGCATCTGTGTCCATGGAGCACAGCACAGCACTGAGCTGTGGGCACCAGCTAAGGGGTAGTACCAGGACATCAGCCGCTTGGTGCCCACCATACAGAGCGCCCACTGTGCGCCCACCCACTGTGACCTCGTCTCCACGCGTCCCCTCCATGCAGCCCCCCCCCTTGGCCTTCCTGGCCGTGCCCGGGCTGTGTCCGCCCTTGCTGACCCATCAGTGCCACCTGGCTGGCTCCATCTCCCCATTCCTACACCCAGTCGGGGGTGGGGGGGGCTACAGCTTTGCCACCCACTCAGGGTCGGCTCCAGGCCTGTCGACTCCAGCCGTGGGTCACCAATACATAGAACCGTCCACGCAGGATGATTTGCGCTGGGAATTTCACCCGCAGATTCGGCGTCAGGGACTCAGGGAGTCCCCCAGAGATGGGAGTCAGGCAGTGCCAGTGGAACCCTGAGTTTCTTCGTTTTGTTCACGGGTCGGCACCAGGCCGGAGCCAGCGGGGGCCGCACGCGGGCCAGGGAGGACATTCTGCGTGCGTCAGGACGTCCGGGTGCCGGGCAGCTGTGCTGGGAAGCGGCCCTGGGCTGTGTGTGTTTGTCTTTGCAACTGCCGTGGCATGTTGGAATTTGGGATCCCATAAATTTTTAGTTGAGGTAGCATTCTGAACCGCTGAGAGAAATGGAAAGCGTTGGGTTTCGGAGGAAGAGCCGCGGCGAGGTTGGACAAGCGAGGTTGGACGGTGAGGTTGGACGGGCCGGCGGGACCTGAGCCCTGCCCTGCGAGTGGATCCCGTCTGTGTTTGAACCTGTGCAGGCCGTCGTCTTGCCAAGATTGAGAAAACCTGTTTGGAGAAAATCCCCCTTGTTCCCAGACCAGCTCCCCTGGCAGCCGGGGTTTTCATCCTCGTGCCCAGCACGTGCAGGGGACAAGGCCGAGGTGGCCATGACAGCTGTCCACCCTACGAGACAAACACCTCGTGGAGGGGCTCCCTGGAGCACTGCTGACGGGGGGCCTGGAAGACGCCAGCTCGGGACCGTCAGGGGTTGGGCACGGGGCCACAGAGAGTCTAGATCTCGCTCTTCTGATTTGGGGGCGTTGGCCCCACCCAGCAGTGTTCAGGCCTTATGCCCAACTCAGTGCTCAGGGATCACTCCCGGTAGGCCTTGTAGGCAGGGCCAGGGATCGAACCCAGGGCCGTGGGTGTGTGTGGTGACCCCCGTGCTCTCTTTCCTGCCCTTCTCCGCGATCTGGTCCTTGCAAGACTAGAAGATTGAATAGAAACGTTTTTTTGTTTGTTTGTTTTGTTTTTTGGGTCACACCTGGTGATGCTTCGGGGTTGCTCCTGGCTCTGCACTCAGGAATCACTCCTGGCGGTGCTCGGGGGACCCTATGGGATGCTGGGAATCGAACCCGGGTCGGCCGCAAGCCAGGCAAACGCCCCCACCTGCTGTGTTATGGCTCCAGCCCCCAAACAGAAACCTTAAAGCTGCCCCGGCTGCCAGGGTTGCTGGTCTGGGAACAAGGGGGATTTTCCCCAAATAGGATTTCTCAATCTTGGCAAGACGACGGCCCCCATAGGTCCCTTCCTTCTCACCGTGCTCTTTCATCCGGTCACCGCAAAGCGCGAGGGCCACTCAGCACCGGAAGGTGGTGTTGGGGTGACGCCGGCAAGGGGCCTCCCGACTTTCCCCCTCCGCCGCCCTGTCGGGGTGGGGCAGGTCTCCGATGTGGGGGTGGGGGAGGGAGGGTTTATCGGCGCCCCGGCACTCGCCGTGTTGGTCTGCTTCTCTCCTTAGCTCCTTAGCCCCCCGTGTCTCCCTCCTGCCCCACGAGCCCCCACGTAGCTCTATGAATAGGGAATGCAAGATGTTTATGTTCTTTTAAAAATTAAAAGAAAAAATCAGGGTGGTCTTAGCTGTCCGTCTTCCCGCCTGGCATTTCCCCTCATACAAGCCTTTTGCATTTTCTGTGTAACAATTGGCATTCCGAGCGCTTTTCCTTGGCCCGCTGCCGGCCCCGCATACTGCAGAGGCAAATTAGGAATGTGAAAACGTCCCCCCAAGAAAAATGTTTGCTATGAAAGAACAGCCGAGGTGACACTCCGAATTAGAGCTTTCGAGCTGCTTAACTTGTCTCAGTGACACTCATGAGCTGTTTCTCTCTCTCTCTCTCTCTCTCTCTCTCTCTCTCTCTCGCTCACTCGCTCTCGCTCTCTCTTTCTCTGTCTTTTTTTTTTTTCTTATTTCAAAGCGGGTGGTGGTTGCGGGTGTGGAATTAGTGGGAAGAAACGCCCAAGGCTGGGGGGGGCGGCTTGGCTGGCCGGGCCCTCCCTGTCAGACGCCTTCTCCACTGATAATACATCTTTTGTCTTTTTTTTTTTTTCTTCTCTTCCCAGGAGCTAATTTTGTGACTCGAAAAATTAGCCGGTCTGTAGCGAAGATTTACCTTGGACAACTGGAATGTTTCAGCCTGGGGAATCTGGATGCCAAGCGAGATTGGGGTCACGCCAAGGACTACGTCGAGGTAGGACCGACTCATTCTCTTCTGGAAAATACCTGTCGTGCTTGATGGGTCCGTGCCAGGGTCCCAGAGGGACCTCCCCATGGGCTGGTGGGCCCAGCAGCTGACCTTTAGGCTGAACTTGGCCTGGACAGGCCAACGCGACCGGGGTGGACGGTTCCCAGAAAGACATCCGGGTGCCCTGGCCGGCTGAAGGGTGACTCTCCTTCCTGCCTGGACCTTTGAAGAAAGGTCCAGAGCTGGAAATATCCCTTCTCTGCTCTCAGAGACCCTCTGATTTCCGTTCGTGTCCTCTCAGACCTGCCGATGACCCGTCATGGTCTACAGAATGATGCCTAGGGCTGGTGGGGTTGGCTACTTGGGACTTCGGTCATTTGTCCACCCACTGTCCTGTGTGACCGCGCACCAGTGCCCAGTGCCCAGGCAGAGGGAGGGTCCCGGTGCAGCCCAGACTCGGGATTCTGGAGAGACGAAGCCAGATTCTCACTCATGGGGGTTTGAGCAGGGGTGGGGGCTACGTCTTGAGCAATTGGGGTTTTCCTGTGAGCAAGCGACCACCTCATCACTGCCCTGGGCCACCCTCTCTCCACTCTCTGGTGGCTTCTCCATCCAGGCACGGGTCTGCTCCCATGGGGGTCCCCGACCCTGGTCCAGGCGTTTGACCGTTCCCCACGCTCTGGAGACTGTTTCTCCTCTAGGCCGTCCCTCTCCGGGAAACCGGGGTCTCACCGTCTAGCCCACCAGTGAGATTAGGAGCCAAAACCTGGATGTTTCCGAGACGAAGCAAAGGTGGGGGCTGGCTTGGCGACCCAGATGTGTTTGCGCCCGATTCCCGCCATCGAGAGGGTCTGCGCACACGTGCTAACCCGCGTGGGGAATATTAGCTGTGCGTTCAAGTCTCGAGGTGCAATGGGGGGGCGTTAGGGCCGTCTCGTTTGGGTTTCACGCTATTCCATGTAAAAGCCGGAAAACGGGAGACGGGAGACCGGAGATGTTAGGCAGTGGCCCCTGTGGTCTTATCTGCTGAAAAACAAGTGACAGGTTTTGTAAAAGTCAACGCCCACTGTTCTCATGGGTCGTCATTTAGTTCCATAGGGCTGGAGCGATAGCACAGTGGGTAGGGTGTTTGCCTCGCACGCAGCTGACATGGCTGACCCAGGTTCGATTCCTCTGCCCCTCTCGGAGAGCCCGGCAAGCTACCAAGAGTATCTTGCCCGCACGGCAAAGCCTGGCAAGCTCCCCGTGACGTATTCGATATGCCAAACACAGTAACAACAAGTCTCACAACGGAGACGTTACTGGGCCCGCTCGAGCAAAATCGATGAACAACGGGAGGACGGTGACAGTGACAAGTCCTGAGGTTACCTCAATACACTTGTTTTGTCGGCCACACCCGACGGGGCTCAGGACTTACCCGGCTCTGCTCTCAGGGATGGCACCTGGCAGGCTGGGAGGCCCCTTTGGGATGCCGGGGATCGAACCCGGGTCTGAGGCACGCAAGGCAAGTGTCCTGCCGGCCGTACTGTTTCTCTGACCCTGGTCTCTACAGACTTAAAGACTATCCAGACTCTCTTTCTTCACGTTCAGGGCGGACAGACTAGCCGCGAGGCCGTTACACTTGAGCAGGGCTGAAGAGCAAGTGCTTGCTGGCGCTTGAAGCTAGATTTCAGTGGCAAGGGGCAACGGCCTAGCGGAAGTCAGTAAGAAGGTTGATAATGTTTGTAGTTGGTTTTGATGGTTTTCTACTAAATCCTTCTCTTTTTTGAGTTTTGAAGTGAATGCATCTAAACTCTTGAACTGGGGGAAAGTGATGGCCGCCGTTCCAAAGTAGATCGGACGATGCGGCTGGCCTGCAGGAGACGGTTAGGGAGACACACGCCGGGAGAGGGTCGCCGGCGAGGCAAGCACGTGAGAGACGCAGCCGCCCAGCCCCGCACCCCCACCCCGCATGCCAAGGCCGGCCCGGCTGCTGGGCAGAGCTGAGGCCTTGGCACCAGGGCCCCTGTTTGTGTTTGCTTAAGAGCAAAGTGCTTTGTAAACGTTCGGGTGCGGAGACTTCAAAAGGAGCTGCGCGCTGGACGGCCCGTCGTGTCAGCCTCCCCGAAAAGGCTGCGAGACGGGGAGTCTTCCGGCCCCGCTCTGTCCGCGCGAGAGTAATGGCCTGAGTCAGAACATGCAGTGTTTACATGGCACGCGCATACGCGGGGTCGTCTCACACACTCACGCACACTCGCGGGCGCCCAGGTGACACGCACACGCGCAGAGCCTTCAAACACACGCATACGGTCACACACACGCACACGCGCTCATAAACACGCACATGGACTCATAAACACATACAGTCACACACATGCACTCAGACACACAGAGTCACACAGATGTACACACACGCACGTACATGCATACACACACATGCACTCATGAACACACGCAGTCACACAGCTGTACACACATGCATATATAGGTGTGCACGCACATTCTCTCACACACATGCACTCGTAAACACACACACAGTCACACACAGACATACACACATGCACATATATGCACACACACATACACACATTCTCTCTCTCTCACACACACACACACACGTGTATACACACACACACACACACACACACACTACCATACCATCCCCGTTGGCATGAAGGCCCTAGCTCATTCGTCCCCTGCCACCCAGAGGGGTCTTGCCTGGCCAGGCGGCACCCAGAGGGACGCGTGCTGCCCGCGTGAGTTGCCTCTCCTGGTTGCCCCTGGCGGGCCCTGCAGTAAGTGCAGGTGACTCAGGCTCGAGAAAGGTGTCCTAAAGCCAGAAGCGTCTTTTCTGGAAGCAGCGCCCGCCCGCCCGTCCCATTGTTCGCGCTTCTACGCGTATTCAGATGAGGTGACTCACCCAACGGTGACTAACCAACCGTGGCCGTTGCCAGAGTCAGAGTCAGGGGTGTGAGGAGGGGGCAGAGAGCGTCACCGTCTGCTCGGGGCACCCCTGCGCCTGGCATCTGTGATTCAGGATAAAGAGGCCTTGGCAGGTGCGACTCCTCCGGGCCCTGCTCCTACCTCATCTCCTGCCTTTAATTGTCGAATCCCTCCTATGGCCCGTGGGTGGAAGCCGCCTCCTCCCTCCTCATCCTCCCTCCCCCGGGAGCGCTGGGCTGGGCTCGGCCCGGCTCTATCTCCCCGTGCCCATCTGCAAACAGGACGTAGTGACCGCCCGGTGCAGAGTGCGCGGCCGATTAGAATCAGACCTTCGTGCCTCACGCCCAGGTCTTTGCGGCGACCCCCGGCGGGACCTTTTCCTGCGACTGTCCACGCTCGCTCCCTGCCACCCGCGTGTCCCCGAGTGCAGGGGGCGTTGAAGGCCGCTGGCTTTCTGCTCATGGCCGGCATGTTCTCCCTGGTGGTGGGTTTGTAACGCCCACATCCATCCCGGGGTCCGCACGGGCGTTGGTCTGTGGCGCTGCCGAGGGTCACCTCCTAGGAGGGGTGTCCTGCCGTGGTGCTGGCCCACCTTTGAGAGGTGTTCACGGGGGCGGGGGTACCCCAGAGAGCCCCGGGGATGAGGCCTTGAGATCTTCTCCACCACCATGCGAGGCCTCGTGCCAACACCGCTGACCCGCGCCGGGCAGCAGGGACCCCTGGTCACACCTTCCTGCAGGACGGGCGCTGAGGAGGGCGGGGAGGGGGTGGCCTGCACTTCACCCCTGACCTGCCTCCCAGGAGCCCACGCGGGCAGAGAGTCCCGAGCACTTGGGGGGAGCACCTCCCCGCGTGCCCTCATCTCTCCGTGGCAGTTCTGAGGGGGGGTGGCCCGTCGGTGGCGTGTTCCTCTTCCTCTGGCAGGGTTGCCCCAGGCTCTCGTCCCTCACTTAGAGTGTCGGGGTGGAACCCAGGCCCTTGGGCTCGCGGGCCCCGCAGCCTCCTGCTCTCCGCATGGCCAGTCACCGGGCTGGCATGTGTTTCCACGCAGGCTGGAACTCCCTGGGGCTCCATCTCCAGTGCTCGCAACGTGTCTTCCCCTGTGGTCTCCGGGCGTGGTGCCTGTGTTGAACTGCACGGGTGGAGGAGAGTGAGAGGGGGACACGCCAGGCCTGACTGATAAGAAAAGACACTTGCTGGGAGGATGACAATTGCTGGGGGTCGCACCCAGCGGTGCTCAGGGATGCTCCCTGCTCTGTGCTCATGCCCACGGAACCGTGCGGTGTCGGGATGAGCTCAGGCCTCCTGCAGTTGCCAGTGGCCGTCAGAATGTGTCTGGGCCTGGGATGGGTGACGCGGACCCGCCTGGGAACCTCCTTGTGGTCGCCTCTCTGTCCCCCCAGGGAGGATTCTTCTAGAAAGAGCAGGGCTTGCACTCTGCTGCTCCTCTCTTTCTCTCTGCTATGTTCAGTTGGGTCCCTCCACCTACGGTGCACGCACGCGCGCGCGCACACACACACACACACAGTACACACACCGACCAACATGCAGACATACGCACATAGACACAGACACATTAGCACACGTGTACAGGTACATAGACACACACACATACCCAAACATGTGACAGTCACGGACATGGTTAGATGCACAGACATGTACATAAATGTCCAGAGATACACACAGACATAGACACAGACACATAACCCAGACATACACACACACACACACACACAGACACACAGAGAAAGACCAACATACAGACTTATGCCCATAGACACAGACACATTCACAGATGAACACACGTGTACAGATACATAGACACGCACATATGCCCAAACACGTGACAGTCACAGATTTGGTTAGATGCACAGACGTGTATACAGACACCCAGAAATACACACAGACGTGTAGACATAGAAACATAACCCAGACACACACACACACACACACACACACACACACACACACACACACACGGTCTGTAAGTCGGAGATTCCCAGGCAGCCATGAGGATCCCCTCGGCCCCCTGCAGCCAGGCGTCCCCTCATTTGCTGGCCCCCCTGGGCCCCGAGCCTCGTGGA